CAAACTCTTTATCAAGTTGGTCAGACTGGAGCAACTGGTCAGAATGTTCTAGTTCTTGTGGTACTGGAATTACAAAAAGAACAAGGATGTGCCTTGATTCGACTAATTCCTGTGTAGAAAGCAGTTCTGATGTAGCTGAATGTTACAGCAACCAAACATGTACAGGTATTTAATAATTAAAAATCTAACTTTTTTTTTATATTCATCATCATCATTATCATCATAATTATCATCATCACCACATTCAGCAACTGGTTAGAATGTACCAGCTCTTGTGGTACTAGAATTATAAAAGTACAGTGGAATTAGGTTTATAAAGACCTAAACCCGTAAAAAAATACAATAAAGCTCAAATTTGTTACATGTATCCAGAAATATATCTAGAGTTACCATAAAAAAGCCCCATAATTTGGGTCACGAGTAAGTCTATATTTGGGCATAATACGGGGTACATAGGGCAATAGTTCAAATTCAATAAAAATACACTATCAAAAAATTTAAAAGTTCATTTAACTAATCGTTGCTTTGGTATGGCTTGTATGGTAAGCTAGTTTGAGTCTATGCATTAAACTATAATTATGTATGCAGTACAGCACTATGCAAAACATTATAAATTAGGAAAAATAAAGAAAATGTTTGAGGTATTTTAAATTAAACTAAATCATCAAATATCTTGCTATCTATTTTCATTGATAACTTTAACCGAGTTGTTCCCCTAGAAAGTAAAAACATCACAAATATTATAAAGAAACCATGTTTACTAAAGGAATGCAATACTACAAGAAGCATTTATTTTAAAAAAAAAATTTTTTGTATGTTTTCATAACTGCAACTCACTCCAAGACAACTACCACAAGCATCCAAGCATTTAATTTCATGTTTTCTTCACGTACAGATTTTCGTATCACATTGATTCTTTAAAGAACTTTTACATTTTTAACGTATAACTAATAATAGATTTTACAGCGCAACTTCTCTATCAGTTGTGACCAACATTAACACTCAAGTTTTTGAGAAAAGGTTTCCAATCGCAAAATCCCCTGAAACACTTAGATTATGTAAACAGTAATAAGTTATAATAAAAATCTTTTTTTTTTTTTTTACAGACTTCTGCCTGTGATGACAGTGGGTAAAGGGGGCACTGTTAACAGTAACCCTAAGCCAAAAACATTATATTTACTAAAAGTATACCTAACTAAATTAATTACTATAACTTCACAACTTAATTGATTTAAAAAAACTAAAAAAACTTTATTACAATTGTTCACCAATTGAGCCATTCCTATACTCATAAGTTAAATTGTTTTATAACTGTCATTTATAAGCGACTCTGCCTTCATATTGACAACTTTATATTCTGCTTTGTTAAGATCATAAGTAGATATTGGCAACCTGGATAGGTGCTTGTGGAGTTTTAAAATATCTGCATAACTCTGCAAGCAACGTCTATCGTGTACACTTTAATCTCGGTTCGGTCATGTCAGCAAAAATGTAGGGGTCTAAATCTAGAGATTTTTACGTACGTAATATATGGATAACTCCTAATGCTAAAAGATTGCACATGATGTTGCAAAAAATTTCCAACGTCTTGCATGAGTTACTTCTTGAAGTAACTCTTGCTAATAACCTGCCAGAATGCGGAAGGATCCTCGTCGTATTAAAAGACTCTGTGACCAATGTCGTTTTTGTCGTTTTTGTAGCCAGCAATATTTGGGAAATTTTTTGCTACCGTGATGATGGATGGTTTACTGCTCAGAATAGCTTGTCCACAAGAGCTTGTTTCACATTGTCCACCCGAGCTTTGGGTTCAAAAGGAGCATCTCTGCCAGAACAGTTTTGTTCCGATGGAAACATGCGTTTTATTTGAACGCAAAGTTTAATCAGGAATGAAAATATACCCTTTCGAAGCCGGGCTTCTTTTTCTCCTACTGGTTGGAGAAACTGGTTTCACATTGTCCACCCGAGTTAATGGTTCCAAGTTTCTTATAGCTGGTTACTTAGGAAGGATTAAAGTTGGCAAGTGATGATGCTGCAATACTTCTTGTTTAATAAAGATTTCAAAATATTTTGTTGCTGGACTTAAACTGCATTTTGTATCAACCGAAACTCTTGCTTTCTTTTGCTATTACGTGAAAAATAAAAGCAGACATTCTTTACAAAGACTTCAAGCCACGATGGTAGGCAATTGCTAATAGCATTTCTACAAATGTTTACAACTTCAACTCGTTCAAAATGAGCAATACCATACTGCATAACATAAGCGGCCATGGTGCACTTCAGCGTCATTGCGCCGTCTGAGAGTATTTGTTTGCAGCATTCGATCAAATAGTCGGCTTGTAAAAACGGTGCATTATATTCTGCCATAAATGCCATCAACAAGATCTCTGCGTTTGCAACTTTTTCTGGAAGGCTGGATTCTTTTTGTTTGGTAAAAACTTGATGTTTAAAGTTTTATTACTGGCATTGAGTGCTTCTGTTCGGCTTTATGTGCCAATGAAGAAGTTTTGTTAACATTAGTTAATGCACAAGAGCAGACGGTACAAATTGTAGTATAACGGTTACCAGAGTCCAGTTTTATCCAATCATTTAATTCACTAACTGTTAGCTATACTTAAAAAAACACCTGCCAGTTCTTGGATTTTTTGTGTGGCGGGGTGCTTAGTGCTGAGCCAGTAGTTTTTCTGCCATTGTCGTCGCTCAATTTTTACTTTATTTAGTATAATAAAATAACTTATTAAAATTTGATAAAAACATATTTAGTATGAAAAAAAATCAAAAACAAAAACAGTTTTTAATAATATATTTTAGGTAATTTTAAATTTCAAACCAAAGATTAACAAATCGAATAAAAACGAAACAACATATAAAATTAAAAAAAACAAATGGAATTAAAACCAAAGATTACCAAATCGTTTATGAATTGAAACTTTATTAAGTAAAGTTAAAAATTCGAAATTTTAAATTAAAATTCGAATAGCAAACTTCAAATTTTCTTAAATATTCAAACTTCAAACATTAAACTGATAAGTTGATTGCGCAAACCAACAATCAAATATAAATATTAATTATCAACAAAAACCCCTAAAATAAAATAACTAGATTTGGCAATATTTTTCAAAAAAACAACAACACAGAAACCTAGACAGCAAAAAAAAAACATACCTAGTGAAAAAAATCAGATTTTGGCAACACTTTTTGTAGTTCTATTGATCAGTCTAATGTCTGTTGTTCTGCTTCGGCACATCTTTGTCGGACCAATAATAGTTTTTTTACGACTATTTTAGAAAGGCTCGGCTATAGCCCTGTTACGGCTTACCAGAACTGGCAATCCAAAAACGGAACTTTGTTGGTCCTCTAATTAATTCTCTGGCATAGGCTAGCCATAAACGGATCAGTATATCATTGCTGTCTGGGTATACTGATGCCTTCCATTTGCTCCCTCGATTTCGTAAGCGCTGCATTTCTGTTGTTTAGAATTTTTTGAGTTCACTATCAAACTATCTCTTATTTTCTGTTTGTCATGGTTAATAAAAATATTTTTGTAATTGATTTTATCTTTAAACTTTTTGAAATTCATTATCATAATATTTTGTGCTAACTAAAACATTCTATTCAAAACTATAGTTGACACAAATGTTATGATAATGAACAAAATACCAAGAGGACCACCTGAGCTCATCTTATAATAAGATGAGGTCAGGTGGTCCTTCTATATATAGTAAGACGAGGTCAGGTAGTCCTTCTGGTCTCTTGGTACTTTTTGTTCGTTAAATTATTTTTTTTTTCATTTTTTATTGAAATAAGATAACACTAGTTTTAAAATTTTTTTGAAAAAAAGATAATTTTAAAGGTGCCCCAAGACCCTTTCACATTGAAAGAATCCCTAATATATATTTTAAAAAGTTCTTCAAAAGTAGGTCAACCTGGTCAAGACCGGCCTGATAGAGGAGAGGGAGGAGGGGATATGAGGGTTGAGACATCCCTCCCCATCAATGAATTTTTCGTGTATTTAGTCGGCAAGTTTGATCTTTTTAGGCTAATCAAATCGCGAGCATAAGATTGTTTTTCTATATCTCCATTTTTTGAAAAAATAGAGTTATTGATTGTGTCATGTACATCTAAATAATTTTTTTTCTACTACATTAAAACCTAAGTTATAATCAAAAAAGTTGCAAAGAAAACATAATAAATAATAATCTTTTTATATACTAATTTTATATCTCATAAAGTTTTTATTTTTTAAATTGATTTCTCAAAACTCAAAAATGTGGTGAATGAACAAGAAATTCTAACTTCGCAAAATGTAGACATTTTAGATCTGTCAGTCGGCATATTTCAAAAAACCAGGCCCTTTTTTTTTAATTAGCAAAAATTTTAATGGCATCTCCCCTACCCCCCTTCCCCACGTGACACCTACTACGACCTGTTTTGAACCTGGTACTCGAAATAAGCGAAATTGTATAAAATTTTCGAAAACAATAATTGTTTTGTATGAAAATTTATATTTTAAACTTTTTTATAAAAAACTTTCGATTTTAAACAAAAAATAAACAGTGCAAATTTTTGAAGATATTTGTTTCCTTGATATGTTTTTTATAAAAAAAAACACGATTTTTAAAACTTTTACATAACTTTGCTTTTTTTGAATACCAGGTTGATCTATTTTTAAATAACTTATATATATATTTGATATTTTAGATAGGATATTTTCATGCATTGTGCAAATTCAAAACTGAAGTATGTTCATATCTATGCCAAATGAGAAGGCCTTGCAAAAAATTGGTTTGGGGGAGGCCTGGAAACAAATAAGCTCTAAAACGTTTGCAACTTTACCATCTTAAACTTAATTTAAATTCATCGAAACAATTTAAATGTTTTTCGAAAATATTGTAAATTAAATAAGTTATGAACATGCAAAAAATATTACTCCCTCATTTGGGAGGAGGGGGGAGAGTGGGAAAGTTTGTATGGTCATAACTTTTATAATTTACAATAATTTTGAATGAAATTAATTAATAAAGATCAGGTCAAGAGCTAATAAAAAAACAGGTCGGGAGTTAATAAAAACCAGTTCGGGAGTTAATAAAAAATCAGTCAGGAATAAACAAAAAAACAAAGAAAAATGTTAAACTGCAAGAGAGAAAATTTGCGAGACTACAAATTGT